CCCTTTGCTGTGATGGTTTGGTTCACGGACCCGCAGCTGGGAAGACATGGATGGGGCTCACATGGTAGATATGCAGGCAGAAGGTGGAACCCAGGGACTTTGCAGCCTGTTACACTGGCACTTAAGTTGGAATTAGCACCAAAGTAAAAATTTTCATGGTGTTTCTCTGACCAGCTAAGCTTGCAGAGAAATTTGGGGACGAGGAGATAGGTGTGAAATTTCTTTACTTCTGTGCCCTGATGCTGATACACCCCTGTTTTCCCATTTTGCACATTTAAACAAAGGACCTAGTATGTGGCCAGTAATCCTGCACTCATCTTGTGTAGCAGGAGTGAGCTGTATTGGAGACTTTCATCCCCGAGGGCGGTGGGCTGTAGGGTTAAAACTACAGAAGTTGGAGGCAGGCGATGATGCTCTCTGTAGCAGCACAGCATGTGTTCCTCTCTCCCAGCCTGTAGCCGGGGCTGATTATTTCCCAAGAGGAAAGCAGTGTCCCCAGTTAGAGACTAAGCCTTGCCAGCTGGATTGTGCATTGGTACTTCGGGATCTCAGCAAAGCCACCCGTCCTGTCCCGGGAATCTCCGAGCACAGCCATCCCCAGCCTGCCCCACATCCCCCAGACACTGATTCCTGCCGCCGGTGGGCCAGGAGCTGCGAGTTAGATCAGGACTCTCTTTACGCCCCTGTCCTTGGGTCTCTTTTCTGGCGGAGGCTGGCGAAGTGGGGCTCCTCCCTGCCCGCCCTGCCCTCCAGGCATGTGCCCCGTTCCGCTCAGTCCTGTAGGGGGCGCTGTGCCGAGCACTGCTGGGAACGAAGATGGCGGCCAGGGGAGGGGTGGCTGGCCGGGAAACACCCATACTCCAGTGAGGGGACTTGGGAGACGAGGGTGAAGGAGCAGACTTTTGGGTGGGACTTCGACCTGCTGAAGTGGCATGATGAGCTTGCTGAGCAAAGGCCCAGCGGTAGGAAGGCACTGGGCATGTCGGGGCTCACACAGCCCAGGGCTGCTGGGCCGCAGGTTCTGGGGGTAGTGTCTTCAGAGACAAGGTTGAAAAAGGTGGCTGGAACCAGATCATGGGGCTGCTGGGCCTTGCCTTCTCTGAGGTGATGAGCCCTTGTGAGTTGGACAGACGCAGGTGTGCTTGGGGCTGACTGTGGGGAGGTGACGTTGGCACCAGCTGGCTCTGGGCCCAGGAGGCAGAGGACAGGGACAAAGGGATCAGGACAGTTCCCCGGTCCTGAGCTCCCCGCCCCAGGCCCTTTGCCCACCTGATTCCTCTTACATCACGTATTATGACCGCTGTGACCCGCACCCCAGCCCTTCCCAGACAGGGTTACAGGCCCTTGCTCTGTGCGTCCTGTCTTTCCTCCAGGATTGTGAAAAACACATTCTTACGGTTTTAAGCCACCAAGTTACAGCAGTTACAGGCCGTCAGGAAGGAGTCAGAGATTGTTGGGAGTCTGGAGCGGGGTAATTGGAGGTGGGTAGTATGCTGAGCCCGCCCAGGGACATAGGAGAGGCGGCTGTGTTGAGTTTTAGACTCCGTGTGAGATTCAGAGTGCCACCGGGACACTGCTGGCCCAGCGTTGCCAGCCCTGCCTGGGGAACTTGCGCTACCTCCTGTCCATCAAGACTGGCAGGATTGCCTCGGGGCCTTTGGTGCACATCTAAACTCACCGACTCGAGAAGAAAGAGAGACGCGAGCGACCCCGTTTGCACCCCCGGGTCTGTCTCAGACTTTATTTCCAGTGACCAGTTTGAAGAATTGTTGTGTTTTTTTTTTTTTTAAGAAACACATTTGGCTGCAGCATTTGGTGTCCCTGCCTCCTGTAATGAGTCGGGCTAGGAGAGTCCTTGAACAAAGACTGAGTTTGAGCTGATCAACGGCATTTGGGGGTTTGGGAAGGAGCCAGCTAATTTTTAATGTCCTACGGGCTGGGCAGGAAGGCCCAGGAGGATGGGCTGTCTCTTGGCTTCTTATTTCTCCTTTTTGTAAAAGGGAAAGGAAAACAGAAGGTGCCACGCTCAGCTGTTCAGCATTCAGAGATGAGCTCTGTCCCCGCTGAACCACTGGGATGCTGGGGCCGTTTCTTCCCCGAGACTTTGCAGCCACACCATGGTGAGGCCACACATGCCACCGCTCCGAATCCTCTGTCCTTTCCCGTCCCGGATGCCGAGTCTGGCTCGAACTAATTTGCAGAGGACACCTGTTCCTTAATTAGCCCCAGCTTGTGCTTGTGTGTGAGTCTTGGTCTGGGCTCCCTCTGCTGCGGGAGCTCCGCCTCGTGCGAGGGCTGCTGTTTGGCAGCTGGCCCTGTGCCTTCCCCACCCGGGCAGTCACTCTGTGCTCCTGAGAGGTAAAAAAAAAAGAAAGAAAGAAAGAAAGAAATCACATCTAGCTGCCATCCAGCCATGGGTGCCACAGCCATTGACCAAATCTTCCAAGAGAGCTTGGCAAGGGTGGACCCCCGTTCTCAGCTCTTGCTCACTTCCCGGTCCTCAGTGGGCACCCTGCACACACTTCTGAGTCCACCCTGTAATGTGTGTCCGTTCGCTTGGTCTCTTTAAATGAGGAGTGCTCTCAGCAGGATCCCATCCTGCAGGGCTGTATAAAAAGGGGCATTTTATCAGGCACCTTGTGACCCCACCATATAAAAGAGACCCCAGCAGTCGCCCCTCAGTGCTCACACAGGCACCTCTCGTCTGTGTGGCCCGCGGTTGTCTGTGGCAGCGTAACCTAATAAACTCCTTTTCTAGTCTCAGAAAAAAAGGGATGGGGGTGTCATGTGTAGTAGGATCTTGATAAGCATCTGCTGAGGAGGAGGGTGAAGGTGGATTCCCGCCTGGAGGGGGAGCCCCGCACCGCCCACGGGAGCAGAATTCCCCACCTGCCTCTGAGGCTGCTTCTGCGATCCCCCTGTTTTTACGCAGTGGAACCTTCTAAAAACCAGTCTTTAGGCTTCCAAGACAAGATCTGACGTCCCACGTAAAATGCCCAGCACCTGCAGCTGGAGCACTGTGTTTTCAGTGAGAGGCGTCCCAGGTCAGAGGCGAAACACCCCAGCACCAAGCCTGGGGCTCCCTGGAGTCCAGTTTTGAGCAGGCCAGGGCCATTTGGGGACGTCTGGAGCAAGTGGCTCTGTACATATTCTCCCGCGTGACATGTCCCTCTCCCATCCTTCATAAGGGAAATTCATCAGTGGAAAGTTTCCCTGAAGTGGTAATTTTCCTAAATGACTTGCTGACGCTGCTGCATACAGACTTGCTCGGCCAAGAGCTGGTGATCCTGCACCTCTCTGTGGCCCCGGGCCGGAGGGGGCCTGGTGAGGGCTGCCCAGAGAGCCCCTTTCCTCTCTGTCTCCCCCTTCACTCCGTGATGGAAACGCTTCTCCTTCCAGGATGGAAGCTGGGCTGGTTGCAGGCCCCCGGAGAAAGCTCTTTCCAAAAGTCTCCCAGCCCTGGCAACTGCCAGGAGGCCTGACCCACCCCCAGCTAATTAGAGCCTTTCCTTAAGCAGCACTTTAGTCTTTCCTGTCATTCATCCTCACAGTGATAATGGACTTGGATAAGAGGTCACTGCTTCTCCCACATCCTGCTCTCCTTGCGGGCAGGGCGGGGAGGGACGGACTCAGCTCCGCTCCAGGAGCTCCCAGAGCTTCCGCCTGCCCATCACTGGGCGGGTTGGGGGAGCCAGACCGGCCTGGCAGCCGAGCAGCTGCGATGTGCTCACCCAGGTCACAGGGCCAGACCTGACTCCCCGAAGTGGGCCCCAATCCCCACTTTCGGGCTTGGAGCCGTCTGCCACATCTCTGGCGAGTGTCATTAGCATTAACGTGATAAAATGGCACAGTGTAAATGTTAATAAGGTCTGATGCCTCCACTGCTTCCGAGTGGCAGATTGGAAATGGTACCATCATTGTAACTCCAACCAGCAGCTTTTAATTCCTCTGCTCCCTGAGCAACCCATTTGGCACGAAAATCCTCACTTTCCCTCGGTTTCCAGGCCGGGTCTCCACTGCGCCACTTTTACCCCCATTTTCTTTCGCAAAGAGGGTCCGAATTTCCCATAGACCAGCTCTCTAAGACAGGCTTTGAACTCTCTTTTTTTCCCCTAAGTAAACACTTGCTTTCCCCTGTTCTCTAGAGAGGAAGAGAAGTGAGGGGACCAGGGCCAGCGGCCCCCACTTCTCCGGCCAGACCCCCACCCCCACACTCCCCACTCCCAGCTCTCCTGGATGCAGCCCCTGCTCCTCGGTCCCGCTGTTTCTCTGGCAGGTTTGCCCTGGAAGCCACTGGCTCTAGTTCTCCAGGCTTCCCCGTCTGTTGACGTCCAAAACATTGCTGATAAACGACATCCCAATGAGCCTTTTCCTCTCAGCCCTTCAGGGTGGTGACCTCTCCACTGTGCTGTATCATCAGGGCACCTGCATCGTCCCCCCACCCCCTTGCCGCATCCTTTCTTCCCAGTGAGGACCTGGGGTGCGCCTGGTGTTCATTTTGGAGCCTTATCTTCCTGGGTCTCGTACCTGACTCATGCTCATGCCAGCTCAGTGCCAGCCCGTGACCCCTGAGTCAGTACTTGCTGAAGAGAAGAAGAGCGAGGGGGCAGTGTCCCCAGGATGTCACCCGGGACTGGCCTAGAAAGTAGTCTTAAGACAGTAAGTGTGAGGAACGGCAGAGAAGCAGAGCTGTGGATTCATTCTCATTGCCCCCTGGGAACTCGCCCGGTGATGCTGTCTGAACCCCGGGAGCCTCTGCCGGTACAGGCGCACACCTGGGTTAGGATTGGCCCTGGCCATGGGTGGAGTCTGCATGAACGGCATGCCCTCCCCACACACACAGCGTGCCCTCCCTACATGCACGGTGTGTCCTTCCCCCAACACCCACACACACTGTCCTACACACAGACACATATACACGGCGTGCCCTCCCCATGCACACGGTGTGCCACATGCAGCGCAGCCTCTGCACCCCTCTCACTCTCATTTCTGTCACTCAGGCTGTCTTCACTCTCCTCCTCGGACCCTTCACCTTCTTTGACGTCCAGAAGACCAAGTACCTGCAGATCCTAACGTCGCTGATGAGATGGATCGGTGAGTCTGACACACATCTCGAGTCTACCTTTTCTCCCCTCGTCCCATCCTCAGCCTTTCCTGAGATGGCCACGTGGGCTCACCACCCTGGCTAGAAGGTGGTGAACGTTTCCGTGGACTCCCAAGGGCAAGGAGGAGGCAGGTGCTCTGTGTCTTTTATACTGGTGGGGAAGTTTAGTACTGAGAAAGATAAGTCACTTCGAGGTCACATAATGCAGATAGAGGTGGGACTAGGCCTGGGACCTGATTTCAACTGTGCTGGGATCCCACCAACCCACAGGCTGGTGGCTGGGCTCCGTGGTGCCTGGAGGCCTAGGTTGGGCTGTGCCCCCTTCAGGGCAGGACAGCAGCGTACTGTTTGTTCTCCTGGGCACACTGTGCAGCTCAGCCATAAAACCCAGTGGGCCATGGCAGCCGCCTCTGCGTCCCCAGCCACCAGGGCGTGAAAAGACACCCCACCCACAGTACCTTCTAACTGTCAGTGCCCGCTCACCAAGAACGCCTCTGTCCTCAGTGGGGGTTTGGGGGTCTCTCCCCTAATATCTGGTCTGCAGGAGGGAGCTCGTTCACTTCTGACCTCATCCTCAGCCAGGCGGCTGACCCACCTGGGCCCATCACCAGAGGGTGTGTGGTCGCTGCCACCCCTGCTGGCAAGCAGATGCTCTGGGATCGGTTGCAAGATCCTAGCCTAAGGAGCCACTGCATCCCAGGAGTGTCCTGGCTCATCTTTGCTTGGAAGTTGCCTGGCTATCCAGCCCACCCCCCTCCCCTGCAGGGGCAGGCTCTGCAGCACGTGGACGGGGCGGCCTCCAATCCAGGGCTCATGGCGGAAAGGCTCCTGTGCCACCCTGAGGGGTACCTTGTCAGTGCCTTGTCTTGAGCTGGACTCACCAGCCTGTAGCTTTTTCCCACTCTTGGTCCTTTGCAAGGAAACGAGAGCAGGACTGAGCCGTCTGGTGTGTGGGCTTTGGGGCCTCTTAGCTCGATGAGCCTGCCCTTCACCAACCAGGTGAGATGAGGGAGCAGGAGGACCCCGCACACCTGGACGGGGACAGCTGCCTTGTCTACCCCATCCAGCTGGTCAGATCCCATCTCACCTACAGGATGCTTTTCCCAAATTGCATTCACAAGCTCCAAAGCCCTGGGTTAAGTTAACGTGACCACCTGGGACAAAAAGCAAACTCATTACTTAGAACGTGAGGGTCACGCTAGTTCCAGAGTAAGATGTTGGAACGGAGCCTCCCTGAGTGCCAGCAGGGCTTGTGTCCAAAAACAAGGCTCAGCCGGGGCTCAGAATTACCGGCCGGCCGATCTTCTCCTTGTAAGCCTGCTTATAGGAAGTATTTGAAAGCCCCAGTGACCTTCAGAAGGAAACATTTTTTCAGCAAACAGTATTCGGAGAAAAATGTTCTCCCTCCTCGCTTCCCTGGCCCAACTCTGTTGCCCCAGCTCCTCTGCTCCCTGAAGTCAGGTCCCCAAGTCCTGGAGGTCTGGCCCCTGCCCCGCTCGGGACTGGCTGTCCTTGACCTTCTGCATCAGTGGTGGAAGGGGCTCGTTAAACACAGGTTCCCCGTCCCTTTCCATTGGAAAGGCAGGAGCAGGGTGGGAGAGGTGGAGGGGACACCCGTGCTGTAGCTGGTGTGATGGATTCCCCTCGTCAGCCCATGAGGGAGACCGCCCAGATAATGACAGTTAATGGCTTCCGTATACCCCAGGGCCTGTTTAGCATGACAAAGTCCTCTCTGCTTCTGGTGAGCAATGCATTTGTTAAAAGGGAGAAGGCTGTAAGGAAGAAGAGGAGGAGGCTGACAGTAAGTAAAGAGCCTATGTCTTGGCACAGGCCACCAGGTGCCCCCCAGACTCGAGTCAGACCCAGCTCCCACCTGTGAAGGTGGCGCTGAACCCTCACGTACGAGGTGTCCTCACGTACCTCGAGCAGCCCTCGTCCCCTCCCCATTCTGCTGTTACACTCCTCTCCTTCTCCAGAACCAGTTGCTTTAGAAAATTGACTGCTTTCCTATGGCATGGGCCACCCCGGACCCCGGTGTCCCCATTCTGCATCTCCCCCTCCCAACCAGAGCACCCTCCCACAGGGCGGCGAGGGGACTGCAGCGGGACTCCTCTGGGTCTCCCACCCCTCTGCTTCCGGGCCCTCAGAGGTAGCCCCTGGCAGCGCAGGCTGTGGCCTTGAGAGGGCACGAGGTGGAGTCCAGCCCGTGAAGGTCATCTGCGCTTGTGTTTTGGTGGTGACATCGTTGTCTCTGCAAGTCATTTGCCTCTTTCCTCCCTCTGATCTGAGAGATAATCAAACGGCAGTGGCCTCTCTGCGAACCTTCTCCCCAGAGCACTGCTGCGGGTGACAGCACGGGCCGCTGCTTTTCTCCGTGAGACTCTCGGCCCTCGACTCGAAAAGTAACCCTCCATGTGACACACAGCCCTCAAGTGAGAGAGAAGTCGCCCAGTGAAGTACGCTGACTGGCATGTAGCCGGGCCCCGGGTTCAGTTCTCAGCCTTGGAGCGTTGGAGCCCCCCGGGCATCTCCCTGCCCAGAACCGTGCGGAAGGTGTTTGCCTGGTCCTGACCCAGGCAGAGGCGCAGCGTCAGGACGGGGAGGGGGGAGGGGGCGGAGGTCCTGGAATCTGGCAGCACCGCCGTGGGAGGCAGCGAGCCCTGCCCGTGGGATGCCAGAGGGGGAGTTCTCTCCTCTGGCCCAAGCTGACCCCAGGTGATCTTTCTAGAACTCCTCCAAAGGCAGTGAGCACCAGGGCCCTGTTTGTCCTCTCAAGTCTGCGCCAAGTTGTCAGTTTGCAACAAACTCCCTCTTCATTTTGCTTCTGAACAGCAGCTGTGCGGCCTGACCTCCCTCCTTCCGGCTTCCCCTGCCTCTTCCCACTCCCCAGATTAGGGCCCAGACTGTCCAAGAGAGCAGAGTAGGGAGCTCAGTGTGGCAATAAGCTGGCTTGGGCTCCAGGAAGACAAAAGGGAGGGATGAGCACCAAAGGAACCGGAAAATCATAAATAAATGTGCTGAGCCGGAAACTTTCTCGTGCTTAATTAGGAATTTGTTCTGCCATCTGTTGAAATGAGGCCGGGGAAGACTGCAGGAGCCCCTCCCTGAGCAGGGCCCCCTGGAGCTCAAGACAAGCTGAGAAGCCTGTAGGCTGGTTCCTCCAGGGTTTTCGAATTGCCAGGCTGGGATTTAAAGGTTGGATGGCCTTTGCAAATAGCCGCTTGTCCGGGAAATGTCAGAACGTGTCTGACAAGTGTCAACCTTGATTCATTTCTTTTGTTGTCCAAAGAAGTTCTGGGGAGACCAGGCTGCTCAGCTTGGGAGACCTGGTTTGCAAATGCCCCTGAATTCACGTGTACAAGGATGGTCTCCGATCACTGTCCTGGCAGGCGAGACTTTTCAGGACCGGGAGACTTCCTGGCCAGCCCTGCGTGCCTTCTACTCGCTCGCACCCAGCGGCTACTTCAGCTCACGAGGCTCTGGCCCAGGTGCCGCCCCTGCTGCACCTCCTCCCTTTGTTCCCTTCGGTGCGAGTGGGATGGCGTCCACCGCCGGTGTGTGCTCACAGGCCAGGCTCCTTGTCAGGCAGTGACAGAAGCCAGAAGACAAAATGGGACCACGTGGGAAATGCTAGCAGCACAGTCCCCGGCAGCGGGTCAGCATTCAGACGTCAGCCCTGTGTGTCCCCACCGTCGTCATGTCGGGCTGCTGCCTCCCAGGAGTGGCTTGAGAGTGAGCCTTCCTTGGGACCGGCCAGGAGATAAGGGACATGGCCCAAGCCACCTCCAGAAAGAGCCGTATCACTGGATGGATGTCCCTTGGTGAGATCTCAGAGCATCACCAGCTGTTCTGTACAGCCTCCCCACCACCCGACCCCAGCGCTGGTCCCCAGGGCTCACGGGGCCAGGAGCCCTCCCTGCATCCTGCCAGCCTCCACCCCCACCGTCTTCAAGGAAGCTTGAGCCCAAGAGAAATGAGACGCAGGCCCACCTCACAGAGAGGCCCGGCTTCCCCCACTCCTGGCTCTCACTGTCAGCTATCAGTCAACCAGGGACACTTAGGAGACTGTCGTGCCCACAGTCCCAGCAGCTGTGGCTTTAGAGCTAAGCCGACAACTGTAGACTGTTCCCACCTGGGCCACCGGTGGGAAGCTCTCAGGCTGGAAGGGGGCGCGGTGGCATCATTACTCCACTCCCATTACCGACTCCCCAGCCATTACCGACTCCCCCCAGCAGACGCCTCCCACTTGGGGACACAAACAGCTGGCTCATCTCAAGGCGCCCCGTTTGGTGTTATTAAAAAAGACGATTCTTTCTAATAAAGGCAGCTCTGGCGCGTGGCAGCCCTCCTTGGTCTGGGTTGTCAGGGACCCACAGGCTGCCTTCCCTCTGATTGTGTATTCAGAGCAGCACCACACCCGTCATTACTGTCTCGGTGCTCCCGCAAAGTGGGTCAGGCGCCATCCTCCCGACCGTTTGTGGATAAACTTGAGCCAGTCTCGTGAAGTTTCTCAGCCCTGCTCCCCCACCTCCCCCTGGCAGGTGCCCCAGATTTGCCTTCCAGACCGAGCCAGCAGGGAGAGGTGGGACTCAGTGGTGGTGGCCCGGGTGGCAGAAGGTCCCCAGGAGGAGACCGTCACCTGGGAACATAAGGGCTCTGGTTTTACCTGTCCCCAGAATTATTTGTGGCAACGTGGCTGACTCCCCCGCAGATCCGTGACTGATCTCAGCCGAGTGTCTCCTGGGGGGACGGCTGTGATCTGTCACCACCAGTAGCCAGGGGTCTTCTACGCCTGGGCCATCTGTTTCCCACATCCTGTTGGCTCGTCCTGCCAGCTTGGTGTTTGAATTCCTTCCCAGCCACTCACTGCTGCCCCCTCACTCAACTGGTGCTTCTGCGAGGGCCAGGAAGGACCCCCTCCCACAGTGAGGGCAGCATACCAGCCCCCTCTGAGCTTCCAGCCAGCCTCTGCTCTGTGCTCCCTGAGCCT